CAGACGTGGGTTTGCCTGTTCTGCACTTTATCTCACTTGATCAAGCAAACTAACCTATTCAGGTACAGCTGGTCCAGTTAGCATGTACTGCAAGCCAATTCTGTAACAATTCGACACCGAACCGGTTGTATCGTCTTACCACAGTCACCTACCGGTTGATCATCTCGGTTTGAATCCAGCTGTGCACAAATATTACACATTTTGCTAACCAACTTTGGCCAACGTTTTCCGTCTCCGCGAAACTCGACAAAACTCTGATTAGAAAAAGGTATATTTTATTTTTTTTCAAAAAAGGGAGTGTCAATAACATATGCGCGCGCGGGTGACATCTGGGGACAGCCAGTGCGTACCTACTTAATAGCAGACTAAAAGAAAATTAAGTAGCGATTATAACCTACCCGAAACTGTTCCTCGATGTTTGATATCTCACTAATCAAATCCTTAATTGCGGACGAGAAGACCTCCAGTGGTGTAATCGAAGGGGTTGTTTGTACACGAAGTACAATTCTATGTTCAAGTGGATGGGGAACTTTATAACCCGCAAACAGAACTCGTGGGTCTTTTAACAATTGACTAAAATCAGGAAAAAAACGTTAACTGATTAAGTATGGGGAATAGTCAGTCTTTTCTTTTTGAACAGCGACCGGGTAACTCATATCTAAGTAAAGGACAGGTGCCGGGAACAGTCATATCGATCGAAGTTGCCGTTCACCGGGGCGTCTCCAAAAAATAGAACAACAGCTAAGTCGAAACCAGCAAAACGCCTGGGATTTCCACGAAAGGCGGTGTTTCTGAGGCTTTAAAGATCAGCCGATGAACCCTACATCCAATGCCCTCGTCTAAATGTTTTCTGGGAGCAAATGAAGTTTCTATCAAAAAGGATGTTAACAGAGGTGTAAATAGGTTGATACAGCTACGCTTCAAGCGTATTCTGCCTGCATTCAGTGGATCACAAATCTGACCACCCTCTAGGATTATAAACATGGCGCAGCCGATCTAGAAATGGAGCCCATCAAATGGGCTACCGAACTTATGTTCATCAGTGTCTCGCCATCTGACATACTCTGTTGCTGAGGTTGGAGTATTTATAAATACAAGAAAGGGTACATATCGACCCATTGTCCCTCTGAAACAGAGAAGCTTCCAGTAGGTGACAGCGGTCAAGAAAATGTTGCCAGGCAGGCAGGTGATAAAGCATCTAATGTCGCTGATCTGTAGACTATATACGCTGTTTTCGGTCTCATGTGGTGGTAGTAGATGTTAGTGGCTAAACTACACCAGAATAGAACAGAAACGCCACTGTGTCAATCAACACGTAACTATGTTGATACCACCTCCGCAACTATCCAGTTGGAGATTGTTCGCACTGAGGGGCAAACGTATAGGTACGTCGATTCTCATGTGAAATTTATTATCGTGCGGCGACTCTGTGAGACTGGACGTGGACGATATAACCTACAAGATCCCAAAGGTTCGCTACATATAAGTGTTGCAATACTCCGCTTGTTGACACCAGAGTGAATGGTTCATCAAAAATTCCTGGCAGAACCAAAAACGAACAATTTTTCTTAGTGGCCAAATTACAGAGGCAACGGCGCACAGAAGTTACTCTAATCATTTGAAGGGAAAACGAAAATGTTCCTTACCGCATAAGCATGTTTCCAAGAGTATGGTCTTCGCGGTTAAGAGTAATGATGGCAGCGTTGGGCACATGAGTATCTTTTTCTAAAAAGACTCTTACAAATAAAAACTTAAGCGATATACTTTTTTTCCCCCTCCGGTAAAAGGAAGGATTCGAAGGATGCTGGTGCGTTCATCGAATCAAATAAATAAGGAAACTGACGAAAAGTTCAGTTTAGTGGCTTCTGAGCCACAAATTCCTCTCTGTAAGGAGCGCAAGCACTAGAAAAAAACGTTAAAGACGTTAAGACGTTAAAGCCAAAAAAGGTTTAAAGTATTAAAAATTTACTGGAAAGAAGTGGATGCAATTGCGGGGACAAAAACTTTATCCGTTCGGCGTTTCAGAGTTACTCTCGACACCAGCATCACCAAGGGCTGCTACATCAGGCACGATCACAGTCGCATCAAGTACAAGTACTTTCAACGCTATACACAGAGACAATATCTGATACGAGTTATCCATACACGGATTTTCGGTATTTATAGGATACAGTCATCATATTATTGCATATCTAGGAACATTAACGATCCCTTCATCGAGGGTGGCCGTTCTTTTGTGCACTAATTACTTGATGACCTGTATGCGGATCGTTGCCTAGTGAAATTTCATCATCATCCTGCATCCACTTTGCTGTGGAGCATGCGGTGGACAAAGGCCTTAGGGGTTGCAACACCTGGAATTGGAAATGTTTGATTAACAACGGCTTATAAAGCAGAAATTGAAATTCCAGTCCCCTTATCTTTGTTGGGAAGGCTATTCTACCTATCCCGCTAGCCACTGTGCAGGGCACAAGGATGAGCGCAAATACAACGAGACTAGTGTGTTTCGTAAACCAATCAGTGAGTACCCATCTACCACACTGTCGAAGCCATCATAAAAAACTATTAAACTATTTTTATACTAGTTGGCAATAGACTAGTTCGCAGGAAAGTACGATAGGGAATACCTCCATTATTGCAGCAAAAGCGTCAAACAAATTATAACGCACTAAAACTACGCATTTAATACTTTTACCAGTATCGCACGTTCGCTCTAAATCGTAACCTGCAGTGCAGTGAGGGCCTCGGTTGAGCTACGTAAGATTCTCATAAGAGAGACTTCAAAACGAATCAGGGGATTTCAGCAGAAAATTTTAATTCGAAGCGCAGCTAGGATCACGCGAACCTATTATAATTGCACCTATCGAAATGTATAATTATGGTAAGTCCACATCCTTTTAGCTGAACTTTGAGATATATTCAGGCAGTGCAGCACAAAACATCGAAGCATCGATGAGCCTTTATGCAACTTTGCATAGGTGATTTCACAACCGACGGGACACAGTGTAAAGCTTGAATGACTTTTCGGACTCTGCAGCCATCCGACCTCCCAGATGCAGGATTCTACCTTATCCACCGAAAACTCGCCACATGACTGCCGAGAGAGAGACAGACGGCGTGGCCTGGACTAAACCTATCACGAATGCTACCTATTAATTCCCCCTTCTTTTCATTTCTCGTGGCTGTACTACATAAAATGCGTCAATTCTCGCAGCACTCTTACTTTCTCTGGAGATGGCCGCTTGTACGAAACCAAAAGACGCAGGCAAATATAAGTGCTTTCCAAGCGATCGCGCCTTCATATTTTTTGCAACGGGAACTTCGGGCTCGCCCATTCGCTTTCACGTATACTTTCTTGCGCCAATTGTAGTGAGCGATGAAAAGGGGAGGAACGTTAAATGTCCTGCAAGTGGGCAAGGTGCTGCGACCCCATTTTCGTGTACGTCGCCGAATCAGGACATTACAATGAAATAAAATATACTAAAATAGCGGTATTCATATCTCGACATGTCCATATAATAAGTGTATTGACATTTATATACCCTTGGCGTTAGGGTACCCCCCTAATAACAAGCTATATAGCTGCTATATCCGTGAATGTCGACATGGCGACATACTGTTGATTGAGCGCTGATTGGCTCAACGTT